ATTTTCTGGATTATTAGTTTAGCATTTGTTTTAAATTCCTGTGTTTCTTATTAAAGTGTTAAAATGATCAGATATAATTTGACTGCTGCTGTTTTGTGTTTCATCCAGAGAATGAAGCTGACGGACAAATGTCTGTCTAAGCTGAAAAATCATTGAAAAGACTCAAAGGACCTCCACCCTGCACAGACTGAAGAAGGCAAACAGCTCCTGGACTCCTCAGTAAAGCTAAAAACATCTTGACCCTGTGGTCAGGACCAGCCCAGTGCCAGGCTTCAGATGCAGGATCTTAACCCAGGACCACAAGATGAAGCACTGGGAGAAGTCCTGACTCCACCCCTCACTCTCAGGACTTCATCCAGTCTCCCTACTGGAGGAGCCTCTGGCCTCCATCTTCAAGCAATTCACTTCCATCAGGCTCCTGAAGGGAAATTGTTCCCCTCCAGGTGACACCTCAAGAATATTGGAGCCTCACCTCCTCCACAGCATCCTGCTCCACCTCACCCTCCACCCACAGCAGGCTGTTCATGACAGCACAGCTGATCCAACCTGTCTTCTCTCCTTCACTCTATCCTGCCTCACCCTAACCTGAAGACTTCATCCAGCAACAGGATGGAGATGAAAAACCTGCTCAATGATTTCCTAAATCCACAGTCTGACCTGTTAAACCAGATGTTCTGATCTGTTCTGCATCTGTTTGCCACTTTTTCATCTCAGTGCTGTTTATCAGCTGAGTGGTGGGACATAAGTCTGATGAGCTCACACACCTGACTGTCATCAGTCTGTGGTGACTGTTATAGATAACTTTAACCTGCTGTGGGAGCACAGAGGACTCTAACAGAGGGACGACCAACAGAGCTGCTTCTCACATGATGTCTGCAAACATATCTTATATAGTTTACAGTGCTCACACGTGCCATCAAACCTCCACATTCACCAACCGAGCACCAGTCTCCCAGTGAGAGTTCAGCAGGATCAGTGAGAGAACAGCTGAGACTCAGAGTCCCTGATCAGACTCGTCCAGGTCAGCAGGATCTGAAATGATCTTTAAAATTAAAAATATTCACACATTAACTAAATATTTTCTCAGGTTCTCTGCCCGAGCAGCAGAACTTTGTTCTCTGTGGATCAGAGTATCTGCTGATGATTTGCTTTTTGTGCTACTCTTATATTTGCTCAGCATGAAAGTTTAATTAAAATGAGATTTTCTTCCTTTGAGTCTTCAAACATGAGACTTTAGAGGACAGCTTGATTTTTTTTATTGTAACATACAGATTGTTTGATGTTACAGGTTCTGGTTCATTGAGATGTTAAGAATGATGAAGGAAAGTTTCAGGATTTGATCTTTACCAGTTTCTGAGATATTCATGCTCAAACATGTCAGTGTGTGAACAATAAACATGCTGGACGTCGACAACCACTTTAAAACATAAATATCTTACATGTTTAATTAAGTATCTTATCTTTAAACATATATCTTACATGACCATCACATTTTCATGAAATCAGTGATATAGAACAACCACAATGATCTGAGATGGACTGACTCACCTGCACAGGTGAGCTGTGTGACAGCAAAGAGCTGATTGGCTGCTAAACAGCAGAGGAAAAAGTTTAAACTCCTCCTCAGCTCTAACTCAGCTGCTCCTCTGAAATGTTAACTATTGATCCTGTACCTGTGATCAATAATCGCTGAATAATCTCTGAAAGCTGATCAGGTTAAATCAGAGGTGTTGAACATAAGGCCCGGGGCCAGAATCAGCCAAGCAAAGACTCCAGGCCACTGGATGCCTCTACAACATATGATGGAGTTTTTGTGTTTGTAAAAGTTTTACGGAGTTTCCTGCTGACAAACACAGCTGTGACTCTCAGCTCCACAGTAACTAGCATGAACTCAGGTGTGTTTTAAACTGGGAACTGTTTAAATAAGACATCAACTCATATTTTACAGTGCTTTAAACAAACTGAATCATTTTATTAAAATAAAGGTTGTTTTATTTTGAAAATCCTCAGAGTGGAAAGCAATCAGAGGAAATTTATTTTGGAGAATTTATAAATATTGATTATCGATTAGAGCTGTCTGTGTCAGATCCTGTTCACCTCCAGCTGCTGTCTGCCTGGACACTGATGACATCATGAGCTGTGAGCTCTGTGATTGGCTGCTGTGTGTTAGAGCTCAGCTGCACTTTCAGTCACTCAGAGACTCTCACACACTGTGAGGTTCACACACACAGACACACACTCAGAGTTTAACTGTCAGAGAGCTGCTGATGAAGATGAAGGAGCTGCTCCTCTTCCTCTCCTGTGTCCTCTGTGTCTCTGCTGATGGTGAGTTTGTCTCTGTAAACAGCAGGTTATTGATCAGGTTATTGATCAGCTCACTGATCATGTTATTGATCAGGTCACTGATCAGTGTTTGATGTGTTTCAGGTCAACACAGCGACATTAAAATCGCTGGCTGTTCAGACTCATATGGAGAGGACGTGTATGCACTGGATGGTGAAGAGATTGCCTACGCAGACTTTAACAAACAGAAGGAAATCTACCCTCAGCCTCCTTTTGTTGATCCTATGACTGTAACAGGAGCTTATGAACAAGCTGTGGCTAATCAACAGATCTGCAGAGCTAACATGCAGAACAGTCGTAAAGGCATGAAGGACTTCCCTCTAGAACGCGGTAAATAAAACATTTAACATCTGTCTCACCTCACCTGTGTTTACCTGCACACTCTGTTAGGTAAGACACTGATGACATCATCAACACTGATGTATTCTGTCCAATCAAACACAGCCAGCTTCAAACTGATTAAATATATGAGAGTATTCCACTTTAAACACATTCAGACTGTTCATCTGTACAGAAACTTCCACCTGACATGTTTATATTTGTGTTAAATTGATCCTCCTCTGCCTGATGTGTTTGTGCACAGATGCTCCTTCAGCTGTGATGATCTACACCAGAGATGAGGTGGAGTTTGGAGAGGAGAACACTCTGATCTGTCATGTGACTGGTTTCTATCCTGCTCCTGTCAACGTCTCCTGGACCAAGAACAAAGAGAAGGTCACAGGATCCAGCATCAACGTTCCCTACATCAACAAAGATGGGACCTTCACCCAGATCTCCAGACTGGACTTCACCCCACAGCTGGGAGACACGTACAGCTGTAAAGTGGAACATCTGGCCCTCACTGAACCAGCAACCAAATTCTATGGTGAGAAAAACTTAAACAGAGAACACTGACAGAGGTACAGATGAGACAGATGTGTGTGGTTCACTGTTTCTCCTCTTTGTCTCCAGTGGTGGAGGCGTCTGCTCAGCCCGATTCAGGTGTTGGACCCTCTGTGTTCTGTGGAGTGGGTCTGACTCTCGGTCTGGTCGGTGTGGCTGTTGGAACCTTCTTCCTCATCAAAGGAAACGAGTGCAGCTGATTGGCTCACAGTGATGATGTCATCATAGTTCTACAATGAGCTCATAATCAGTGTGACTGTCCTGTCTATGTGTGTACAGAGAGTTCACCTGTAGTGAACATCAGATTCCTCTTTTCTGTCTGCTTCCTGTTACCTGTCCATCTGATATGCTTTAATAATAGAACCCCACCTGTTCTGTTCTGTCTGTCATCATAGGTGTCAATAAAGTTTGAGTCTGGAATTAAAATCAAAGCTTCTTTCAGCCACTCTCCCACATCAGCTCCACAAAGTCAAAATGTAACAATGAGACTGAAATCAGTTTTATCTGAACTCAGTGTCAGGAGATCTCAGTGTGTTCATAAACCTCTATAATGATTCTATGTTTATCAAACTGTTTCAGATTTTCATGTATCAATAAAACATCTGAGAAATAAACCCACAAATCTGTGTGAGGCTGTTCTTTTATAAATGTTCATGGATCCATTTCACTCTGTGGTTTGAGTCAGTGCAGAGCTGAGTCAGGTGTCTCTGTGGGTTCATGTGTTTAGGCTCTGCTTCTTGTTAATCATCCTGTAACACATCTGTGACATTGGTCACTGATGGTGTTACTAAATTCCAGCTTTTGAGGAAGATTTCAGGTGTGTGTGTGTGATATCAGACTTTGAGCTGTAACTCATCTGTATGTTGAAAGGCAGAGATTCATCGACTGATCATAATGCAAAGCAAAGATGTAAAACTAAATATCAGATGCTGATGCAGACCGTTGAAATAAAAGTCAATGAATGTTTATATAAATGAAGCTAACATGTTTATACTCGTGCTGTAACATGTTTTAATATCTGACATTTAAATGATTGAAGCAACATTTACATTTACACTAAAAATGACGTTGAGATGAACTCTTCTCCTCATTAACAATCTGCTCACTAATAATCAGCATCTATTAGCTGAATATGAATTTTTCAGTATGAAAAAGGTCAAACATTTAAAGCTAATTTGAACCTTTACTCTCAATGTAACAGTGAAATGTGATTCAGCTGCTCCAAAGATCTCTACATGATGACATCACACTTAATTTAAAAACATGCCTGATTTCATGTTTGAGACATATTTCAATCATATCCATGAGATCTGTGCCACCCACGCAGGAAAATCTGAACTCCATGTTTCACAATAAGAGTGTTTCTGTCCTTTTAATTTTAAATATAGACACAGGACGTGTTAGTATAGACAGTGTGATGCAGTAGTGAAAAGTACTGAAAGAGAGTGGATTGTTTTATTGATTAATAAACAGGAGGAAATTATGAACAGAGGTTTTATGATTATTACAGCAGTGCTGATGTCAGGGGCTGGTTTAGTGTTTGCAGATAATTATTCTAGATTTATCCATGCGTGCAGACTGTGACTGAAATATACATGAACACAGAAGGTTTTGAGTGCAGCACAGAGGAAATGTGCTGATGATGTCACAGAGTGCTGTTCTCTGCTTTTAAAGCTTTAATGGACTCTAACTCACACAGTGATGAAGAGTCTGAGCTGGTGTCAGAGAGTTCTTCCTGGTAACAGCTGACGCTGTGGTCATGTGACCTCTCCTCTGTTTTTAGAGCAGCTCTCAGTCAGACTGAGTCAGTTTGTCAGGAGAACTCAGGAACATGGCTTCATCCTTCCTCTGCCTCAGCCTCCTCTTCATCAGCCTCAGCACAGCAGGTATGATAAACACACTCCTCACTGATCAATACACTGATCAGTGATCAGGCCTCAGTCTGATGTTCTGTGTGGTTCTGTTTGTTCTCAGATGGATTCATGGAGTATTATGTGTGGCGCTGTGACTTTAACTCCACTGAGCTGAAGGACATCGAGTTCATCTACTCTATGTATTACAACAAGATCGAGTACGCCCGGTTCAGCAGCAGTGTGGGGGAGTTTGTTGGATTCACTAAGTACGGAGTGAATAACGCAGACATCTGGAACAGTGATAAGGGACAGGTGGCTGCATGGAGAGCTCAGAAGGAGACGGTCTGCCTACAACACATTGGTAACTTCTACAGCAACCCTCTGTCTAAATCAGGTGAGTGTGCTGGTCTGTGTGACATCATCAGGTGTTCATGTTGACCTCACTCTGAATCATTTATGATGGACTCACAGCTGCAGGTCAGACTGATGATCAATAACTGTAATAAATCACTGATCACAGCTCTGACTGTGAACACTCTAACCTCAGTCTGTGGCGCTCCCTGGTGGTGAAACAGGCAAACTGACAAACACAGAGCTCAGCTGCTGTTATTTAATGTGTGTGTGCACATTAGAGAGAGGCCCTTTCACTGTCCACTTTTAAAACACATCTTAAACATCATTTTTATTCTTTAGCTCTGAGCTTCAGCCAACCTGACAGTAGTTTTTCTTTTAATTAATTAACTTTAATTTTTTTATTCATATCTTATGTATTTTTATTATTTGTTCTGATGTACAGCACTTTCTGTTAGCTGTGGTTGTTTTAAAGTGACAGTGAGCTCTGTGTGTCACACACAACCTGTGGCCTGTGTAACATGAGGTTAGTAATTCATGTGTGACAGAATATAGTTTTCTGTCGAATAAATCATCTAACAGAGAGATTATAAAGTGTTTCTAGTGTTTCTTCATGTTATGGACTTAAATCAGCTCCCAGCAGCAGCAGCTCAGAGAAACATGAGGAGAACCAGCTCAGACCTGCTGTGGAGAGCAGCAGCTGTCTGGTTCTACATGTTCCACTTATTGCTTTTGAGTCTTAGATGGTTATATTTACAATTGCACCTAAACGCACCATGAGTGTTGAACCATGTGTGGATGAGCAGGCTGTTTAAAGCAGTAACTTCCTTTCTGTGAGATGGTGTTATCTTAGAGAAGGAAACATGTGTGAGAGGTTTCCAGCAGCTCTTATGTGACCCATCTTTGTGTGACTGGTTAGAAATATGATCTAATAAACAGTCACAGTGACCCCTTCAGGCTCTGGATGGTACAGTCTGATCAGAGTTCCCCTCCATCAGGGCCTTGCTCACCACCGCCATCATGATCTCCTCCACCATCATTGTTCAGCCTACAGATTTTCATCACCAGCTTTCCCCAGTGTAATGAAACAGCACCCAGTGTAAAACATTCTTTCATCAGCTGCTCACTTTCTGTGTTTGATTTTGTTGATAGTTGTAAAAAATAAACAACAAAAAACACTGTAAAAAGATCAATCAAATCAATCAAACAGCTGGATGAGCAGAAATCCAGACTGGCACCATCTGTGGATTCAGTCCTTTAGTTTGATGTTGATATTAAACTGAGTGAAAGCAGGCTGGGTTCATTTATGTGTGGATGAGTTAAGGTGTTAGTTCATCATCTAATCTCTATACGTCAGATTTTACTTTCAAACCACAGCAGCTGATCCGCAGGAGGAACATTTCACTGATGGTTCAAACTGGTTTCACTCTGAGCCAGCACTTTGCTGGATATTAATAAAAACTGATCCAGGTTCAAGTCTGGTAGATTTCCAGCACATACAGCTCTGCATGTGTTACTTTATAATAATGATGTTTACAGCTGCTGGTGTTTCTCCTCACAGCTGATTCATGATCTGATGTCAGACTGGTTATATGTGACTCTACTGTTGACAGTATCTTTATTAATACTCATGTATACAATCATCCCTGATGATATGATATTAACAATAACAGAAACTCATAATGTCTTTCAGCTAAGCCATACGTCAGACTTCACTCCACGAAGCCTCTCTCCAGTCACCATCCTGCCATGTTGGTCTGCAGCGTCTATGACTTCTACCCCAGTGAGATCAAAGTGAGCTGGCTGAGAGATGGACAGGAAGTCAGCTCTGATGTCACTTCCACTGAGGAGATGGCAGATGGTGATTGGTACTACCAGACCCACTCACACCTGGAGTACACACCCAGGTGAGCATCATAATCCATGGAAACATACTTTTAATCTAAAGTCTAGACTACAGTTTAACTTTTTAAGATCTGAGAGTCAGTGATGTTTGTGTTGAAGGTCTGGGGAGAAGATCTCCTGTAAGGTGGAGCACGCCAGCCTGGAGAAACCTCTGATCACTGACTGGGGTAAATACTTGCCTGTATCTCCACACCTGTACACACCTGTACATACCTGTACACACCTGTACACACCTACCTGTCTGACTCTCACCTGTCTCCTGTCTAACTCTCACCTGTCTGACTCTCACCTGTGTGACTCAGATCCCTCCTCGTCCATGCCTGAGTCAGAGAGGAACAAGCTCGCCATCGGAGCCTCAGGACTGATCCTGGGTCTGATCTTATCTCTGGCTGGATTCATCTACTACAGGAGGAAGGCCCGAGGTCAGAACTCCCACTCACAGACCAGTTCATACCACACAGAAATCAGTTCAGACCAGTCCAAAAGTAAAACCACATTACATTAACCTAAAACTGGTTTGGATCTGGTTTACGTCAGTATTTTTTTTTTATATATTGAAGTTTTAACATTTCACCCAGTTTTAGACCATTGCTGTTTATTTTCAGACAACTGTTAGATAGATTAATGTTTCAAACACAGGTTTTTAAAACATGAAACATGAAACTTTACTGAATCATTGGCATTGATCAGTTTAAATTCAGTGTCCATGATGTGTGTGTTGCTGACTGTGTCCTCATCTCTTCTTCTTTCAGGTCGTATCCTGGTTCCCACTAACTGAGTCTGTTCCTGGTCCTGGTTCTGTCTGATGTTATAAAAGCTGCTGCTTCATGTGTTCAGCTGACTGATGATGATGATGAGTCTAGACTCTGAACCTGATCCAGGACCCTCTCACAGCTGTTGGTGGTTGTTGTGGTTTCACTGGGATGGTCCTGGGTCAGGTCTAATGTAAACTCTGCTGTTTGATGCTTTACCTCTGCTGTTTAATCCATGTAATGTAATCCCTGTAATCCACGTCTCTGAATGATTTGGGTGTTTCTGCTGTTCTGATTACCAAAGATCACACATTTTTACTGGAGGTCATTGTTCCAAAATAAATGACTCAAACTCTCAGCTGTGTGTTTGCTTACCTGCATCATGTTAATGTCATACTGACAATTTTAATGATGTAACAAAATCCCGGTGTGTTGGCCAGAACACCACTTAAGACCACATTGTCCCAGAGTATAGAGGAAGTAGCTTGAGATTCGGTTTGAGGCACTTTTATTGTCACAACTCAATTCCTGGGGCTGTAAACACATTTGCGTGGACATGTGTGTGGTTTTCTACAAAGGAAATAAACAATACAAATAGACCATAAATAAAGAGAATAGGCAAGTGACATATTCAGATATAGACATAATCGTATATATAGATCAGAACAATTTAGTACACTTCAAACTGCTCACACTATGCAACTAAACAGCATTAGTGCGAGGTTAAGTTACCGTCGGTACATGGGAACTAGTTCACAATAATAAATACAAAATAAAAGCTTCCCCAATATAATCTGCTGTCATCTTATTGTGAAGGGCAATCAGGAACGCGATACTTCCGGACGAACTACGATCTGTATTTTATTAATCCTCATAACTTATAAAGTAAACAATCACCAGCATCACCTACAACATACAGGGAAGGTCTGATAACACAGGAATGACATTATGGACATGTGAGAGACCGTAGATCAGGGGTGTCAAACTCATTTTAGTTCAGGGGCCACATGGAGAAGTCTATTCTCAAGTGGGCCGGACTGGTAAAATCATTGTATATATACCTTAAAAACAACAACTTCAGATTGTTTTCTTTGTTTTAATACGATCAACATAAAAAATAAAGCAAGAGCCTGTGGACGGTATGTTCAAAATAGTACAGGCACAACACAGCTATTAATCATAAAACACCTCAAGTTATTTGAAAACTCTGAGGACAAAGAACAAGCACACAGTGCCTCAGTGATTCACAGAACTGTTTCACAGATCACAGAAGTACATCAGAGTGTCACTTCGCAGGCAGCAATGTAGATAAAAATAATAAAATCCTGTTCCCCAAACAAGTACAAGAACCACAGAATAGGTTAAATATATAAATCAAATATAATCAAATAGAAACAGTCTCACATCAACATAAAAATATATAAACATAAAGCTGGAGCCTGAGGACAGTGTGTCCAAAAGCACAACA